CTCCTATGAGCATGGTGCAGATGGAGAAGATCTTCTCAGAGTCTGTGTTTGCCGACACGTTTCCGAACCCCACGCTGGTGAGGCTGCTCAGGGCGAAATACAGTGATGTCACATAGCTGCTCCTCATCGAGGGACCCCCCCCCAGCACCCCGAAGACCCCCCCTCCGCTGACACCACCCGTCCCCCCCGGCACGGACACATTTCCTCCCGGCGGCATGGACACGCTGCCATTTGTCATTTGGCTGGAGTTCCAGGAGCTCTGCGCCGCGACCTCTGACCCCGAGACGTTCCACTGGCTGCTGTTGGTCGAGAGGCTGCTGACGGTGGAGGAGAAGAGGGTGGCGAGGGGGGGGGGCAGGAAGTAGGGGGTCCCAGACGCTTTGCCAACTCATAGAGCCAACCTGAGAGAGGGAGGAAGAGAGAGAGAGAGGAAGTCATTAAAGCACATCCCTGACCCACTCTCACCAAGTTCAAAGCATACATTAGAGTTGCTTTTAATCTGTAATTAATGTTGTGTTTTAAATGTTATGAATTGTAACTCTGTAAAGTGTCTTTGAGTGTCTAGAAAAAGCGCTCTATAAATAAAATGCATTATTAATAGTATTATTAATTTAAAAAGTCTCTTGTTTTTTCCACAACTCATCACCAACACGTCTCTTTCAGTAACCTCACATAAATTAAATATATGTGAATGTGTCCAGACTTTCTTATTGCACCAGTTTATAACTGACACTACTTCTGATCGCACTAATTGACTTTCTTTCTTTCTTTCAGTCTTTATTTCGAACAGATTCAAAAATAAAAAATAACAAATGTGAAAAACAGAATACCGTATTGTTATAATACAGTATTTATCCACATTCATGGTAATATTTGTATATTCAACAAAAAAAACAAAAAAAAAGTCTTCATAATAATAATAATAATGATAAATCATATGTGTCCGAAAGGAGTAGGAGGAAGCAAATGATTATTAATTCCCACCCCTTACTTGATCAATGATTGTCCTTTAAATCATTATGCAAGTTATTCCTACATACATTTACATTTATACATATACAATCATTTCTCTTCTTCAATCACCTTTCTTCATTCTCATATTTTTCCAAAAAAGTGTTTCTGTGCATCCTTTTAAACTGAATTATGCTTTGTTTGAACTCCTGCTCCAAACCATTCCATAAAATCACCCCACAGATTGTTAAACTCATACTTCTCAGAGTTGTTCTGACCTTGCGTTGTTTAGATTTCCTCTCAAATTATACCCACCCTCTCTGTCTACGAACAACGTTTTTTATTTCTGTATGTCTTGCATAGTATGTGGTGGTATGTTACTGTGGGATGAGCCTGAGACAACTGGAGCTATTGTCCATTTGATAACCAAAACTTAACATGTTGAATCTTATGACCTTGCTAAAATAGACTTTCACAAACTCCAACCGTACAACAATAAGAAATGCTTTCCTACTGAAGCCCAAGCTGAATATTGTAATTAACTTAACATATGATGCATATTATTTATAGATTTAAAGGTCGTGTTTAACCCTTAGGCTCGATTGGAGCTCTGCTTGGAATCAAAATAGTCCTTTTAGAAAATGTATCATGAACCACAATAAAAGAGAAATCACCTAAAGTCTGAAAAATACATATTTTGCACAGGATAATAACTTGTGTACAGAATATATTGTCTTCTGCACGAAGCATTTTGTAACCTTTCAGGACCGTAGGGACTACAAACATTGTGAAAGGAGACATTATGCAAATAGAAATGCAGCAATTCAGCTTCAGAGGAAGGGAAAGGTAAAGAGAAAGGAGGTGGGGCCAGGAAAGGACGAACGAAGGAGAAAGCATGGAGTAGGAATTGAGGAAGGAGGATCAATTATTGAGAAACTGTGTTTGTGGAAACCATGAATAATACAATATGGATGCATCATTGATCTCTAGCACTGGACACAGGCAGAGGCAGCTTCAACCTTGTGTGTGTGTGTGTGTGTGTGTGTGTGTGTGTGTGTGTGTGTGTGTGTGTGTGTGTGTGTGTGTGTGTGTGTGTGTGTGCTGTGTGTGTGTTTGCAGTGTGTGTGTGTGAGCATGTACGTGCTTGTGTGTGAGTGTGTGTGTGTGCTGTGTGTGTGTTTGCAGTGTGTGTGTGTGAGCATGTACGTGCTTGTGTGTGTGTGTGTGTGAGCATGTACGTGAATGTGTGTGTGTGCTTGTGTGTGTGCTTGTGTGTGTGTGTCTGTGTGTGTGCTTGTGTGTGTGTGAGCATGTACGTGAGTGTGCTTGTGTGTGAGTGTGTGTGTGTGAGCATGTACGTGAATGTGTGTGTGTGCTTGTGTGTGTGCTTGTGTGTGTGTGTGCTTGTGTGTGTGTGTGAGCATGTACTGATGTTTGTGTGTGTGTGTGTGCTTGTGTGTGAGTGTGTGTGTGTGTGTGTGTGTGTGTGTGAGCATGTACGTGAGTGTGTGTGTGTGCTTGTGTGTGTGTGTGTCTCTGTGTGTGTGCGTGTGTGCTTGAGTGTATGCGTGTGAGTGTGTGTGTGTGTGTGTGTGTGTGCGTGTGCGTGTGAGTGTGTGTGTGTGCTTGTGTGTGTGTGTGTCTCTGTGTGTGTGCGTGTGTGTGTGTGTGAGTGTGTGTGTGTGAGCATGTACGTGAGTGTGCTTGAGTGTGTGCGTGTGAGTGTGTGTGTGTGTGTGTGTGTGTGTGCTTGTGCTTGTGTGTGTGTGTGAGTATGTACGTGAGTGTGCTTGTGTGTGAGTGTGTGAGTGTGTGTGTGTGTGTGTGAGAGTGTGTGTGTGTGTGAGAGTGTGTGTGTGTGTGTGAGCATGTACGTGAGTGTGCTTGTGAGTGTGTGTGTGTGTGTGTGTGTGTGTGTGTGTGTGTGAACAGAGCCCCGTGAAGCACTAAACCAACAACATTAGGGGATTTACCACCCGAGTAGTTTCCTAATCACTTCGTCATTAGCACGACTTAACCTCGACCTGACTGAGCCGTCGTTGTGCGTGCATGTCAGGGCGGGAACACATCACACATAAAGCAGAAGGAATCTCTTTTATGTTGTCCGTGCAGAAGGGAACGTGAAGGCCATGACTGACGTCGTTTCATAATATCTAATCGAGTCAGAGATGGAGAAAGGCTGCAGGGTTTTCTGTCAGTTTTCCTATGATTTTAATTGATATGAATCTAAGTAAACTCCTCATGCTCGTCCTTCCTGTGGCTCCCGTAGCGGCAGGGGGATTGGATGTATGTATATAATATTCTTTCTGACTGCCTTTGTGTAAGTAAATCAATAACTATGATGACGGACGGTTTGACTTCCCTCCATGAATGTTTCATTGAAAGACGTCACAGAAGCTGAAACGCATCAATAATTAAGGCTGCAGACACAACAGTGATTATCAATGAGCAACCTTTAACTAATGTTTACATCCATCAGTATTTCATGTTGTGTTAGACTATAGATATCAAATCTGTCGTATTATTTGTACAGATTTGAACTATTGGAACAGATGTGGTTATAATAAGGGTATAACACACGTGCTAAAACGTTATCATTGATTCCTTTTGCTTCACTGTTTGAGAAATGTATAAATCGCTATGAATGGAAGGGATACATTGAAGCTTCATTGATTATAAATAGCTGTTTTTTAAAGTGCTTTTTTTCGGGATAACATGGACCATTTGATGATTAGAGCAAAACAAAAGTAATATAAATATTAACAAACCAACCAATTTCCCTCCCAGTCAATTTCCCTCCCAGTCATTTGTTCACAAAAGGTACAAATTAAAGATAAATTAGAATAAAAATAATACAAAAATAAAGTGATAAAGTAACTGTTGAAACAGATATCACGGTAAAACGTGAATCATTTGAATGGACATTTATACCTCTTTGGATAGTTAAATATATTTACGAGTGCAGATGTTAAAGTGCTGATTTCTGCTCTCTCTCTGTGTGTGTGTGTGTGTGTGTGTGTGTGTGTGTGTGTGTGTGTGTGTGTGTGTGTGTGTGTGTGTGTGTGTGTGTGTGTGTGTGTGTGTGTGTAGCTTCACTTTATGAGCTGTCCGTGGTTCTGAACTCATGTCTCCCACTACAGTAGTTACTTATCAGTGATATGTTGGTGCACTATCAAGTTATTGCTATAGCTGCCGTGTTCTGAGAGACGTGATCAACCCAGTGGTATAGAAGCAGCGGAAACACACTTCTCAATAAAGGAATATAGTCAAATGATACCTTTCGCATTTTAACAAAGTATTAACGGTGTCAGTTTTTCACGTGCATGGCTGCCTCTACTAGACGAGGTAATTGTGACGGGATTAAAAGGGCTCGTAGAAAAGAGGTTAAGCAGGATGGATGGATTTAAGAAACACAGGGCTTTCATGCAGGAAACCACTGAGCCCTTTTGAAACAGAAGATTGACACATCTTAAATTAGTACGGGTTATCTTATATATAACTGCTGTGTTCTGTGAAATGTTATCAATTCAATGACTGGGTGTCTCTACTGGATGAGGTAATTGTGACGTAAGAAAAGGAGGAAGTCAGTAGACGTAGCATAATGAGTAACCAAGGAGGTTTAGGTAGATGGCAGTGGTGAACCGTCAGGGCCTTCAAGGTATTCAGAGAATACCCTGGAACACTCAGATAAAACAAACAAAAACATCGATTTAATTATATAAATAAAATGTAATAAAATGAATAAATGAGAATCGTATCTGTGTTGTTGATCTGTAATATTACAGTGTTACGTTGATTTGTTTGTCCTTCTCGGACCATGCACTACGCATTTCAGTGGTTTTGTGTTAGAAAAGAAAGCAACCAATCAGATGTTGTTCTGGGTCTCTGGGTAGAATATCCACAAGGTATTCTACATCCTTGATCGAATGCCCTGGCCGTTGCACTGAATGAGAGCGTACGTTTGGACTGACAGTTTGATCAACCAATCAGATATTGATTTGTAGCCAATGGGCGTATTCTTTCAGAGTTCCCCTCGGTTCCAGGGTGCTCTAGAAGGCCCGCTAGTTAACTGGCTCGAGACAGAGGACCTAGAGTGAGTGCGACGAAGCAATTCATGCCGTTTTATTGTTTTTAACGTTGAAATGACAAGTGCAACAGGTGAAGATGAAGTTGTTGCGGAATTGTTGTGAGTACCCTTTTCAAGACGATAATTAGTGAAAAGACGGATATTATAATGCCGCGGAGGGGGGGAGGGGGGGGGGGTGTGTGTGTCTACAGAAGGTCCAGTTGTGATAGACACGGTTCGCCACTGGTAGATGGATGCTAACAAACAGGACTTTCAGGCATGAAACCACTGCGTGCGTTCCATCATTCAACGTCGAATCATTCTCAATTACGTACAATAAAGGATTCTGTTCTAAGTCCTGTTAACCATGTGTGGGAG